AATATAATATACAAGTTTCACTTTTTAAATGGAATTACTGAAATAAATCTACTTTTTCATGATATTCTAATTTTATGACCAGCACCTGTATACTTCTCATCCAACTACAATTAAATTCACTCTGTCCTGGAGACACAATCTTTTAGGATAGTATTTTTTAACACTAACAAGCCGAAACAAAATAGGAGAAATGAATTTCTACTTCTTACCTTCTTAAAAAATGTAAGGAGTAGAAAAAACATATAACTGTGTAAAAATGTGAGAAGTAAAAGTAAAAATTAGGCTGAAAAATAAATACTCAAGTAAAGTACAGAGAACCAAAATTTCTATTGAAGTACAGTAACAAAGTATTTGTACTTRCTTTACAACTCTGGTTATGGTACCCAAAATCCTGGTGCGGTTCAGAATTTCCAGCATTTGAGACAAAGCAAACATGAGACATAACATTTTCACAATTTTTACGATCAGTCATAAAACGTTCTTTTACATTTCAGCCACTGTGCTGATGGAAAATGTTAAATGAGCTTTATCAGTCCCTGCTGAAAGTCAGGTTCTAATTAAAGATCATTAAACGGTGCTTTAAAAGAGACTCACTTCCAAGTCAAGTTATCATCATAAAATAACTTAAATTTAAAAGCGTCATAGCAGTTTAAGCAAGTGCTAATATTTAAACTTTTACACAATTATTACACAGTTATATAAGGATAAATATGATTTAGATGATGAAGTATCCACATGCTGCACCAAAAGTAATGTACCTGTTGTAGAAGTTATCCTCAACAGGTAACATACTGATTATAAGTTTTCACAAAGCAATGTTTTAAGATATCCTAAATATCTACGAAAGGTACAAGTTTTTGATGTATTTGTTTTGCAAGATTATTTATTGTGTCAACACAACAGTGATTCATCTCCTGAGTTTAGCAGTGTTTTTATTAGGGATGCACCGATATGAAAATTTCATCCGATATCGATATCAGATATAATTATTGCTGTTATGGCCGTTAACCGATATTTACCGATATTACACAAACACAATTTTTTTTATATACATATAGACACAAACACACTTGGGTCTTTTTTTGATACCATAAATAAATGACCAGACCTCTGACATGGCTCTACTTCAGTTATTCCTGRCTGCACAGCGTCACTATCACGATCAAACATATGCCACTTGACCAAACATTTCACCTCCCAAAACAAACTAAAGCTAAAAAGTGTGAAATCAGTATCGGCCCAGTTTTACATATTGGGCCGATACGATATTCTAAAAAATGACCAATATCGGCCGATACTGATATTAATGCCGATATATCGTGCATCCCTAGTTTTTATGTCTGAAGGAGGGACTGCTGGAAATAGGCATCAGCTCCATGTGGCCTGGGAAGGAGAAACAGGTAAAAGAAATGGATGGATGGCTCATAGGTCAAAGTTAAGCAGCTTATCTAACAACAAAATATTCCTCTGGAAATGTCGTAGTAGAATAAAAACTAGGGGGAAAGGCAGACAAAGTTCCAAAAATAAATTAATAAAAAAAGATATTCAAATAGTCTGAAATAAACTACAAATAAT